TAAATTGCGCATTGGTGTATCGAGTTGATATTTTGATATGATTTTAAGTTGTAGCTACTCGTATAATTATCTGGTATGAAAATATATGTCATGCCGCTAAGTACGCCTAATTTTTTTTCATATTTCTAATGTGCATGCGAGTAATAGTAAACAGTCTTTATTGAAAAATCAGCTAGTGAAAAAATTAATAGTAAAAACAAGAGTCACAAAACGAACGATTAAATAAAATGAATGAATGCATACATACATAAAATTACATTTTTCATGATCAGATACTCAGAAAGATTATTAGATATTGCGGTTATTCGCTACCAAATAGAACGTGAATTTTTTCCTGCCGAAGCAAAAACAAAAATTTGAGGAATATTAAAAGTATATTAAATATTCATTGAATATTTAAAAAGAGGGAGCCCGTAGAAATCACATCTAGAAGTGAAAATGTATGATATTGAATTGTATTCAACCGCTAAAAAGTTTTTGTACACATTGAGTGCTTCTCAAAAAAATTTCTACATTTGCTCCAAACGTGTGTTTAAATTTGATACAGATTTCTTTATAGAACAAATTTCAAAATGGACGTAAGCAAACACCAGTCTATTTTTGATTCAATGTTTTGAAAGGGATATAGGTTTGCCATTTTGAACTACTCAAGTATCAAATTGTTCTTACAATAATGAAAAAGTCAATAAATTTAAATATTATGTCAGAGTAGACACTGCACGTAATCACTTGATTGCTCTCCCCATTATTTCATTTCAACGATTTTGAAGCCCAATAAGAAAATTAAAAATGTGCTCCTGGCTCATTTGGTAGTGTTGGGTATAATGAATTGTTTTTTATCCTTATAGGACTAAGCAACTTTATTATATTGTGCAGGTCACTTCGAAAAGTACCTACTCATCTTGCACATTATTGTACCACCAGACTCATCTATTTTCCGACATTCGATTATTTATAACTGATTTTTTATACCCTATGCCTTCTTCAATTCATCGCCAACTGATTTTACGTAATACGTATTGCCAGTGGCGCACTCAGAAAATAATTATGGGTGGGAGGGCTGACCGGGGTCCCTGGGCCAAGCAACGGAAAACTTTTTGAAAATTCTTTAGAATGATCGGTATTTTAGAGCATCACTTTAAGTTTATTTTAACTCTTTGAATGCAAGTTTTGAGTAAGGACTATAGAAATGAATGATAAAACCCAGCAGATAAAATAAGATTATAGGTTTTATTTTGACAAAATCTTTTTATATCAGCTGTCTTACAAAACAAAATTGAGTCTTCTTTGGGTCTTCATCAGTATAGATAATATACTGTCTGTGTCAACCGAAATTTTCCTGTGGATATTAATATTGGCTACGCCATTTAGCTAGCCTACTCTCAGTGTTTCTTAGGTATATCTTGATTCTCCGAAGAGTGGAAAAGGAGCGCTCTGCTGTGCTGGTCGATACAGGTATAGTGATGAAAATCTTGAGTAGGATATGGATGTTTGGAAAGATTGTTTTATCACAAATATTTAGAAAATTAATTGCTGGCGTGGTGTGCCTTGTTTCGTTGGAGAAAAGCTTGCCAAACTTCCATTTCTGCCATCAACACGTTTAAGTTGTTGTTTTCCAAATCTTCTTCATAAACTTCGATCAACTTCAAAAAAGCCTCTTTCTTCATGTCTTTACTTTCTTCCCTATTCTCTGGATAAGTATGAAGCAAGCAGTGAAACCCTTTCAAAATGTTCTTGTGCTTTAAAAAACGTTCTTCGATGCAGGAAATAAAACTTTCAATCCAGGGGATAAATACGTTAATTCTATAAAATTGTTCTGTGCTTTCGGCTGAGATATTGCTTCTGTGTGTGTCTGCCTCCCAACAATCCTTGGAACACTAATTGTAGTTTCATTCAATTCGGCCATTTTTTGTGCCTCTCGAAACAAGACTGAAAACTCTTCATCTTTTTCTCTTAGTGACTTCAGACTTTGAACTACATAGTCAGCATAGTTCAAAGCAGTCCAGAGATCCGCATCACTTGACTGTGTAGCTTTTGACACAATATCAAAGTGTAGCTGAGTAGCTTTTCAGCAGATACTAGAGCTACAATGTACTCTGACTGACATATAGCTGTCAAAAGAACATCGGCCCCTGAAGATGTGTCCTTATCATCCTAACACTTGATTTCTTCTAAGGATGAAATGATAGGGTTGTACAGCTCCTTCATGACGAGGACAGCATCATGCCTTCGAACCCATCTGGTTGGGCATACCTAGCTGTTTGAGTTTTTGTGCTATGGTTTCAATTTTTTTTCTGAAGAACATTTTGCCTCTTTGGTGTGTTAAATAAAGACCATACTCTTTCGGTAGTGCCAAAACAATTTCTGATAGATCTGACCTCTACAGCATTTGTAATGGCTAAGTTAAGGCTGTATGACGCGCAGTGTACATATACTGCCTTCGGACAACGTTTCTGCACAACAGCCTGAGCACCTTTGACCTTTCCGCTCATGGCTGATGCGCCATCATATACTTGTCTTCTCAGATCTTTTATTTCAAGATTGCACTTTTCAAGCCCTTTCCACAGTGTTTCTCCAAGTACCTCGCCAGTCGTTGACTCTAGAGGCACAAACTGCAAACACTTTTCATTAATCTTATAACCATCCTTCGTGTTATGAGAGACATACTCACAGACAGTGAAACCTGTTCTCGAGTCGACACGTCTGTAGTCTCATCAGCTAACACACTGAAAAAAGTAGCATCTTTAACATCTTTGACTATGTGACTTTTTATTACTTTGTCAGAAGCATCAATGATTTCGTTCTGGATGTTCCAGCTTATTTAAGTGGCATTTTTACCACATGACTTGAAATGGTCTCTTAATTTTTCATCACCTGCTTCAATACGCATCCGCAATAGGGCTCTGAAATTCCCCTCATTATCATCTGGCATTGCGTCTGAGTTGAAGTCTCCATAGTCTCTGTGGCCTCGAAGAGCTATTCCCTGTCGTCCACAAAAAATTACCGTTTCTATTATGGGTTTTAACCTCTCTGCATTTTCTTTCGCCTAATTGGCTTTGCCTACATCTAAAGATCTGTCTATGGGATTCATCTTCCCTTCCATTACTGTTTTCAAATTGTTGAGAACGATCATGGCATGTTTGTGGTATTGTAATTGAGAATGTGACCCAAATTTTTCAATAGCTTTTTTCCAATTTTGGAATCCTTCTTGGACAAGCTGGCCTGTTTTCTGGGATGATCTCATACTCACTTCAGTTGGAGCAAAGAGTACCTACACAATAAGTGCAGTAAGCCCGGTTGTCTATCTCAGAATATGACAATCACTTATACTTTTGCAACCAGGGATACAAAAACTCCCTCTCCTGCTTTCCATGAGTCGTCGCTGGAAACTTGTAGTTGGAAGATGGAGTTTTCCAAAACATGTAACTTCTCTGTGCCTGATAGCCGCTTATTTTTGTACAAAGAAATGTCCATTTTACTGCTGCAGTTGACATTGTCCGGTGTATGGCTGGAGCTTGAGGCTGAGGTAGGTACCCGGTTCATCAAGAGCAGGACTAGCCAATTTCTTCCGATCAGGCTCTCCAATCTAAAAAAATTATTGACCGCCGTTAATGTGAGGCGAGCTAAGAAGTTCGTGTCAAGTGAAGATAAATATAACATAAACACTTACCTTTGCGCCGCTGGTAACATTCTCATTTTTGCCAAAATAGTCCGTCAAAAGCCGTTTCATAGTGAAATATAAGAGTTGACACTAAACACTTGCACTTGTAATCTCCGTCACTAATAAAAACTCATAACAAATTGCTTTACGCTAACGCGAACAAAGAACTTGAGCCAAAGACTGGAAAGGGAAAACCGGTTTTCTCCCACCCGCCAAAACAAACAAACAAAGTAATCGCGCGCGAGAAATGTTCCTTTGCGGAGTTTGGAAAATATGAAATTAGTTTCATTTATTTTTTAGTGCATTCCTTAGGAACAGGAATGCAGCAATGCAGCTATTTATTTCGTAGTTGTTGTGAAATGTAACTCCCGCAAACCACTATTCAGTATGCGATGTGTCCACTATTGGCGGATTTAAAAACATAATGTAATTTTTTTCTTGAGGAGGGGCTACAGCCCCTTTAGCCCCCTCCGTGGGTGCACGCCTGCGTATTGCTTTGGTGCGATAAAAACTTATTATCGGATCATTCGAAAATGTATCCTTCATTTTTTCGAAAATTGGTTTATTTATAGGCATATCAAACTGATTATCACTTCTGTGATCAGATGTATCAAACATATTCACATTCTGTTTCATAAAATCATAAAAATTATTTGTCATGATTTTTATGGTTAAAGAGTCTGTATTTGTATATAGGAGAGATGCCTTTGACCCGTAATTGCTTTTGATAAAGTAATGAAAAAAGTCATATATGACAGTTTTTGATAAATTCAGAATGCTAAATCAATGATATAAAGGTGTATCATGACGAATTTTGAGAACTGCGTCAAAATTTTCGAAAAAAATGGAAAGTATTTTGAAATTTGGTGGAGTGATAAAAGCGTTTGCTTCCAAACTACGCCCCATTGACTCCCAATGGGTAGCAAAACATTTTCCAGATTTTTCGTTGTTTTACCGAAAACGGAACTAGTTTCTAGATGAGAAATAGTTCCATTTTCTCATACGGGTGTTTAAAACGTTCAATGCCTCTCCCGCGTTTACGCGCCTGACTGGGCTTGCGCGAGATGCCCTCGACGCGTTTTCGCGTTCTATTTAAGTCTACTTTGTAATAGCTTGTTGCTCTTGACCCGTTTGTCCTTCTGGCAAACATCAGTTCAAAGGGTAGGGGAGCCAGGCTCCAACCTGACTAAATTGAAGATGGATTTCGAGCTTGTTGCTCAGTGTGGCGTTGACTGCGGATTATCGTGCTGTCAGAGGCATTGAATTGTGGTCTTGAGAGGTATAAACAGCTGTTGGATTTTACCAAAGAACTGTTCGTGAACGGCTAGTGGTTTCGAAGATGGGCGATCAGGAAGCAGGTCCTAGCGGTATAAAAAGGGTAAGATACGATGTGAGAGGTAAAAAAATGCTGAATAGTGTAGAATTAGAGAGGCTTGCAAACAACATAGACGATGAACAATTTTCGGATATTGATTTTGAAGATGACTTTGAAGATGATTGCGATTATTCTGAAGAGGACTCTGACGATGATTCGCTGGCAAATCTAGTTACTACGTCTGCGCCTACAATTATTACTAATGAGCCTTTGGTTTGGAATGATGATACAACGTGCATCAAAAAGTTGCCCTTCACTGAAGCTCAGGAGTTATTACAGCAGCCTCAAGGAAATGATCCTATCGATTACTTCAATCTGATATTTGATGACAGTTTTTTACAACAAATCGTTGAACAGACCAATATATATGCATCAGAAATACTTTGCCTGGAAGGTAAAACTGAACAATCTAGAATTACAAAATGGCGAGATGTTACAGTACCTGAACTCAAATTATTTTTGGGACTTCTGTTACATACTGGCATAATTCCATTGAGTAGATTACATGACTATTGGAAAAAGGATTACCTTTTCAAAATTTCATGCTTTTCTGAACATTTGAGTCGAAATAGGTTTCTTTTAATTTTGAGATGTTTGCATTTCGCTAAAAATTCCGAAGAGGGGGAACCAGCTATTCCCGATCGCCTTTACAAAATAAGACCCCTTGTTGATCTCTTCAACAAAAAAATAAATTCAGTATTTTACTCTGGTCGAGAGCTCAGTCTTGATGAATCGATGGTGTTGGTGTTGTGGCGGGGACGACAAGTTTTTAGGCAATATATTAAAAACAAAAAACACAAATACGGCAAAAAATTGTACATGGCTACTACACCAAATGGGATTATTGTAAAATTTGCAGTTTATACTGGTATTCTAGATGAAATGGGAGGAAAAGGACATGCTGCAAATGTGGTCCTACATCTAATGAGTGAGTTGTTAGGGAATGGTCACTCTTTGTACATGGACAACTTTTATAATAGTTTCGACCTTGCAAGACAACTACTAGAAAGGAAAACTGAGGATTGATCGAAAAAATTGCCCAAAGGACATGAGGGATGCCAAACTCAAAAAAAGTGAAAGTGTTGCGAAATATTGTAATGGTGTTATGATCGGCAAATGGAAAGACAAACGAGATGTTCATTATATTTCTACAGAATTTTGTAATGCTATGACCGAGATCCAAAATAGACGAGGAGAGATGAAAGAAAAACCAGATTCTATAGTGAATTACAATAAATTTATGTCAGGTGTTGATCGTCAAGATCAAATGCTCTCGTACTATCTGTGTGAGTCAAAAACCGTGAGATGGCCAATTAAGGCTATTCACATATTGTAAATGTGTCTACTGAATGCTTTCCACCTCTACAATTTATATTCTAAGGACAAGATGAGCCTCTATGATTTTCGTCTCAGCATTATGAGAAAGCTTCTAGGACAGCAGAAAGCTGTACCAAAAGTCATGAAGGAACAGCGTATTTTGAAAAAATGTGAGAAGTCTGAAAAAGGGGTGACACTTAGAAGAAAGTGTAGGAGCTGTAGTGAAAATGGAAGGAGGAGGGAGAATACTTGCACAGCATGCCCAGGCACTTCAGGATTTTGTTTAGATTGCTGTAAGGTTATTCATGAATAATATTTTCGAAAGGCGTTCTATTAGATTTTATTTGAATGTGTTCTTCTCAATTGATAGTTTATTTCTTCTGTGGAAATTTATGATGAATAAAGAAAAATAAATGGATGAAATAACAGTTATTTTTTGCATTTTGTGTATGAAGTAACGGAGACGCGTAAACACGTTGGTGGCACTGCGTATGTATTTTGCCTGATCAAAGCCACCGACGTGTTAACGCGTCCTGTTAATAACTTCATCTGAAGTTGGCAAAAAATTCTTTTGGATGATTCTGAGACTCAGTGTTCAAAAAATTAGTTATAAATGAATTTAAAATGTGTCGGCCCCCTGCAAAGTTTTCATATACATGGGGCGCAGCGAACGTGTTAAATAATTATATTTTTTCCAATCATAGAGATTGTAAAGGATTCTATGAGTCCTCATTACTATCAGAACCATTTTCAAATGGAGTTTTTCAACTAGAAATGGTAAATCGGAATGAGTCATTCAGCTCTCCAGGATAGTGAATGTCTACCTCTAGAACATAGCCTTGAGAGTTATGGTCTCATACATTAATGATTAGAGTTTAAGCATTTTTTCATTGGATAGCCTCATGAACCCACCTGTTGGTAATGGCTGTGACATACTATACTCATAAAGATTGGTGGCATCTAAATAGGTAATGAAGTGAAGGATGAGGGCTCTCTAGGTTATTGTTGATATGTTTTTTTTTTCAAAATATTGACTCACACCACCACGTATACCTTTCTGGAAAAAGTTTATCATTTCAAAATCAATTAGCAACTCCAATTTTATGCCAGTGTATTTGAGCGTCGAATCTCAAGATAGACCGGAGGATGTAGAGTAGTGAGCGGGGTCTAATTAATATTTATCCAGGCATATTTTTCCAAAGTTGGCGAATAAATCACATAATAGTAATACGTTTTATGTCAAATACAAATCTGAATAGTCTTCCAATGTTTTACAATAGAAGGTCCATACACGAAAAGCTCTTCTATAATCGCTACCCACACTATAAAAAAACTGTAAGGAAAAACTCCTTTCTGTCTCATCAAATTAATTTTTTTTGTTTCACAAAAAACTTTCGCATCTCACTAGACTGCGCCTTTGTACCCATTAATAAATGTTTGATATTTTATAGATATCTTCCAAAAACGTCCATATTCACTTTCACAGTATTATGGATATGTACCATTGTCTCAGTCAAATTAACAATATTCTGGTTCAGTTCAGTGAAAAATATATATTTCGTCCATATGATGGAATATACCCCTTTTAATTTAAACAAGATTCCTATGGCTGGGACGAAATCAAATAAGCAAATGAATGTCATCGATGACATAAAAGTTTAACCAAGCATGTGAAGTAAATACCTCTAACAATGAACGCTACGAAGTACTCTCGTCTTCTACAGGAATTTCAGAGCCGTCTCTGTCCAAATTCTCTTCAATAATATAATTTCCGAGATTAGATGAATCACCTTTATTATTTAAACGGGGATTTTACAACGTAAAACAACTACATAAAGCAAGTAATTACTGAGAACATTATGTTGTTTATGAAACAATTTGCCCCGGGAATTATCCGTTCACTCTTATACTAAAGAATATTCAACTATACAGTTGGTCTGCATCTCGATAAAGTTTTCGAGTTCAGTCGAATAACAGTAGTTGGTAGAAGCAGTCTGTTCGCATATAAAATGGGTAATATCCATTCTGTTATTGCGATTGTTGCGATTTTTAATTACCCAATTTCAATTTCAGGTGTGAAACTCGCTTTATGTTGCTTGGCAATAATGTGCGTTGGTGTTGCAATTGGATTAGATCGTAAGTTCATAATTCTGCAATAGCCTTATGAATATTGACTATGTGATTTTTTGCAAGAATTTGCAAGAATTAGCAGTTATCCGCGTCTTAACCTACCAATATACTAGTACTTAACTACGAAACTAATCGGTCCAAATAACTTTGTGTGAAGAGCATTCAGCTAAAATTTTAGCCATTTTATCTGACTCCAGTCAAAAATGATACCTGAAGACCTCAAAACTTTATCGATAAATTTTCATTTTTTAATGAAAACTTTGTTATTAAGCAATACCGTGATAGCAACCAGCATGATAAAACCGCCAGTCCGTCGAACGAGTGGTTTCATCTATTGCTGGTTGCTCAATTGGTATTAATCAGATAAAAATTTGAATTCAAAAAAATGGACATTTATCTGAGAAAATTTTTAGGTCGAGTGGTATTCGTAAAGATTATTTCCTGAAATATTCTTCATTACCTGAAGAACATTTGTTTGAAAGTACAATTAATAAAGACACGATGTTCGAATATATGAACAGAGTATGTAAATGACTAAACTCGTATTCTTCAACGATAGGGTTTTATTTTTGAAATGTATCGTGCCTTGAAATGAGACCTGACACCGGAGTTACCCAACTTACAGACGCGGCATTAACTGTAGATCGCGTATTCTTTTCGATTTTAATGAAATTGCTGTGATACTTTTCAAAATAATGTTTCGATTCGAATTAAAAATGTCTTATTATATCAATAACTTTCGAACGAGATATTGAGATTCCTGAATTTCATAAATACATCGTTGGTATTCAAGGTGGAGTTTGAATTGATAGATTATTGTCTCATTTTTGCGAGGTTATATGAATAAGCGAAGTGTAGAAATTCGTTTTTCATTTCGGTCTCTTATACCTGTTTATTGAATTGGTGAGTTTTATTTGATTCATACATATTCTTTTGCATTGCCTCACTAGAGTTAGGGTCTAGTCACTGGCATAATCATAATATCAAATTGAAACTGTGAATGTCTGTAGGAGCATTCTTGCAAAGTCCAATACAAACAATTTTTCCAATCACCAGAAATGCAATACTTTCTGCTATGGTCCTGATAACGATAACATTTTTGTCAATATCGTACATTTTTTTACTCAAGGGGAACGTAACAAGTATACGGACGAGAATGCTTAGACCCACCAGTTTGTGTTGTGGGCAATGGTGCGAGTAAGCTATCAGGAATATATCTGAAAATAATGGTGTTATTTCTGTAGACATCAAATTCTAGAATCTAGAATCTGAGACATCCAAGATTGGTAACTCCTCCTTGTTTTCTCATATGTTAACTTAATATTTGGGGTTGTGTTATTATAGTACATTCGGTATTGTCTGAGAGTGAAAGAATTTCAAGAATGCCAATATGACGGTACATCAAAGAAAGTAACATAGTCATCTCAAGCAAGTGGCACTGCTATTATACATCTTCTAAGTCACTGAGATATTTCTACCCGCTATGCCACTTGAGGACGCAGCTAACGAGCCATTAAAATAGTGACTTGCGATAAACAATGTCAGAAGAGGCGGTCGACGCTTTTTCTCATATTGCGATAAAGATAGTATCAATAGGCGTCAGACTGGGGGTATTAATATAAATTTTCCAATGATATATTCTTATGATGCGAAGATAATTGAAATATGGTGAAAATTAATTTTGTTTAAATATTTTATTTTGAGAAGGACAATTTATATTTGAAATAGTTTTTTTTAGGATTGTTACCTTCTATAGATTTATAAAATAATCAGAATATATAATTTAAGAATCAATACAAATGTAGAAAGGGCAAAAAATTACTACATTTGATAAATAAGCTTTTTGAAAAACAAATTTAATTCGATAAAGACTATCCATTTTCTTTATCTAACCTATTCGAATGAAAACATTATAATTTGTAGTTATAATTCTTCTTTTGATGTAAATCAATTTTAAATTATTATTATTGACACTGATCATATCAAATTGATCGTAGGTTTGATAATGAAGATGGATAAATTCTTATAATTCTTATAAGTTTACATTGAATTATATCCGACATATATTTATGCAAGATACCTCACATAGGTTAGTCTTGCAGATGTTTCTAGTTGGTCCAGGTGAAAGTCACCGCTGAAATTAATCGAGTAGATCACCTGCAGAGCAGTTTCGGGGTAATACTGTATCGTTAGTGCAGGAAAAATCCAACCCAAAGAGCAATATGCGTGGGACTCGAATCCTGCATCCACTGCATATACGATATCTTCATTTGAAAAAAACTGTTAATCAGTAACTGCTTCATCTCATGGAAGAAGCCCCAAGTTGAGGCAAATCCTACACTGTAAGGAAATTGATTACTAATAATGTAAGTTACAAAAAGGATTTGAAGCTCTATAACTTCTATTTGAGAGCTTCAAATCCTTTTTGTAACTTACATTACTAGTAAAATACTGAAAATAAAGGAAAAATTAGTTGGCCCTAAATTTAGTGTTTCTCCAAATAAACATAATATTAACATTTCGTCTCTATTAGCAGATTTGGAATATATAATGGAGAATTTCGATGAGACTAAAAAAGA